CCAGGGTTCTGTGTCTGTTGACTTAGGTCCCTTTAAAGGGGTATGGGGATGTAGAGGGTCTAGGCCCCTTAAAAGGGTGTTGGTAGGTGCAGAGGGCTCATAGGGCTTAGGTAGATTCCCGAGGGTTGTGGGAGGCCACTAAATCTGCCCCTGGGTTTTCCTGGGTTTGATGGCTCAGGTAGATAGATACCAGCCCGTGCGTCTGTAGCGGGCTTCTAGACGGTGGCCTCCTCTAAGACTCTAAACCCTAACAATGCACGGTTGATAGCTGCCTACCTAGGAGTAAGTCTAACTCCTAAACCCTGAAATCCTGAATCTAGAGTTTTCTTTTCGATTCCCATAAGCCCTAATCTGAGGACTTGTTTAATTTGTGGGGGGGTCGCCCCCCCCTCCCCCCCCAGAATAAGAAATTGAGGGCGCCAGATAAAAAGAATGATTGGTGCCCCTGGAACCCAATCAAAAAGAATAGGAATGCATTCTGCGTCATTGGGGCTCTTGAACTTCTATTAATCAAAAATGAATAGGAATGTACCGATTATCTCTATTATCAGGATTGGTTTTTCTTTAAATGTAGTCCCTTTTCACCATACAAAAAGCGACCTAATTGTAGCTAGTCTGTGGAGCCTACTTCCGCCCAAGAAAAGTCTTTGAATATGGTCCCTCTTATTAAGTTAGTCCTCGGATTAGACCCTAAACCCTGCTATACCTAAACCCTAGATCTCGAACCCTAAGCTGCTAAAATTTGGAGGCTGATCGACCCGTCCACGTGAAAATCCTGGAGCCACGAGATTCACATCAGGGATCCAAAGACCCCAGCTCTATAGCAGAGCACCGAAGCTTGGCGGTTTGGCGTTTAGGGTGTAGAGCTGAGGGTTGAGGGTGTAGGGTTGCAGGGTTTAGGGTTTCAAGGTGTTAGGGATTTATGGTTTGGGGGCTGAAATGATTGCCAGTAGCGGAGAATCAAATGGAAAAGAGGATCGACCATGAAATGCAAACTGGGCCTATACAGGGGTTCATAGCGATTATCGGACCCCAAACCCTAAACCCTAAACCCCTAAACCCTAAACCTGATGATTATCGGGCTTCTTCTCTAGAGAATGGGCAATGAAAGGATGGAAACTGCGATGGAAGTTGCTACAGTGTGAGGGTCGAGGAATGAGGCCGGCTAGAGAGAGGCCTTGCTTTCAGGATTTAGGGAATATGGATGTAGGGCGTAAACCCTAAGCCCTAAACCCTGGCAAAGGGCTTCGGGTTTGGAGTTAAGGATTTATGGTTAAGGGTTTATAGTCCCCCTTAAGTAGATAGAATATGGCTTTGGGTATAGTATAATAAGATCCCCATATACCCCATATTCTACCTACTTAAGGGGGACTATAGCCTCAACCCGAAATTCCGGTGTCGGATTTCCTGAGTTTCCGATTATCTATAGTCAGGAGTTTAACAACAGTTTAACTACAGTAGAGGGTATTCATGTGAGCCATAGTCTAAACTCTTTGAAGGGGTTATGTAAGGGGATTATAGGGGACTACTATAGGGCTTATTAATTAATTGAGATACTCGGAGTTTAGAGACTGTTTCATGTAATGGGAACCCCGAATGGGGAACCCGAAGACTTCAGTAGTGATAGGGTTATACGGGGGTTCTAGGGGTATATAGGGATTACAGGGTCATACATGGGTCATATATGGGGTTATATAGAAGTCCCTTCATACATTCTCCTAAGGAAGTGACAGCAAGAAGAGACGCAGCCATCTTGTAAAGACGGCCTTCTTCGTTGATGATGACATCTTGCGTGGTATATCCCTGAGGGATACGCTTCGCGATGTTGGTCGCCTGTGGCGTATTTCTCCTTCAGACCTAGAGGAGAAAGATAAAGCTGTCCTCGCGCAGTACTCTGGTCCTGTGCAGAGCTTCGATGTGTTCCTTTCCCACTCATGGCGCACGAGTGGATGGCGAAAGTTCCTATCGTTGTCCTTGTATGCCGGCTGGGGGCACGTATCTGGGTTGCTGTTAAGGAACTTTACTTAAGTTACTATAGTGGGGAAACCTCATTATTTACTATATATACCCATTATGGTAACTTGAGTTAAGCTCCTTAACTCCCTTTTACCCCAGTTTCCGTTTCATTTTCCATTTTATTTTCCATTTGATTCTCCATTATAGACCATTATGGTAACTTAATTTAGATCCCTTAACAGCAACCCAGGTGTTGATAATCTGGTTCCTGTCCACGCTAGTCCTGGAGCTCCTTTCCAGCTTCGACCTGCTGCCGGCATATTGGAAGTATAAGGCCGGATGCTATATTAGGGTTTAGGGTGTTTTGGGCAACTACCATCTTAATGGGAATCTCTATAGTTTAAATAGTGGTAGTACTGATACTATATTCATAACCTTATTCATACTACTACTACTACTACTACTACTGTACTACTACTACTACTACTACTACTACTACTACTAGCTGTACTACTACTACTACTACTACTACTACTCCTATTAGTACTACCACTACTACTACTACAACAACAACAACAACTACTACTATTACTACTACTACTACTACTACTACTACTGTACTACTACTACTACTACTACTACTACTACTACTACTGTACTACTACTACTACTACTACTACTACTCCTATTAGTACTACCACTACTGCTACTGCTACTACTCCTACTACTACTACTACTACTACTACTAGTATTATTGCTACAACTAAAGTATAATTCAAATTAGTACCACAGCTCTCTTGCTGCCCCAACTGGGCTTGCTGCCTAAGAGTTCCAGTTGATATGGGCTGCATAGGCGCACATGGGAGTGCATATGAGCCATAGTCTCAACTCCTTAAAAGGGGTTATACAAGAGGTTATATGGGGACTATTATGGGGCTTGTCAAGGAGGACACTCTGGGATACTAGGAGTTTAGACTACAGCTCATGTAGGCATTTTTACGTGCAGTCTAGCTTTAGGGACCTGTGCAACGTGATCGGGCAGTTGCAAAGCAGGTTCATGTATGTCTACACATATCACATACGTACGTACGTACATACATACATCAAGCAAAACATACATACATACATACATACATACATACATACATACACATGTATTCATGCATCTGCATCAAGGTGCATCTGCATAGACATTTACATTGGTTCATGAGCTATGTGCGTTTATATGTACATATCTGTTCTCTGTCTGTCTGTCTGGCTGTCTGTCTGTCATCTCGCAGGCTACGTTCAAGGGAATTTCGACAGAGCTCGCCTTTGGGGGCTGGGCACTATGCGTTGCGCCCTTTGCTGCGCTCTTGGCCTTCTTTTCTGCCCCCTATCTCCCAGATATCCTGGGAAGAAGGCGGACGCTAGGTGGCATCTTGAGATAGTTTATGTTGGGTACTGCCCCCACCCAGTAACAGTCTATATCAGGGGTCCTACAAGGGGCTATATATATGTTTATTATCCAACTGTTACTGAGTGGGGGCAGAATCCAAAGTTTATGTTTTCCCTTGTTGTAAAATCATTAATAGGACTGCTCAGAAACCCTAAACCCTAAACCCTAAACCGCGTGGCTGGTACCTACGGGCTCCCTTTCTGAGAAACTCCCCAAACAACTTGGAGGCTTTTACGTATGGAATAAGGGAATACCATCCCTATATGAGCTATAGTCTAAACTCCTTAAAGGGGGGTTATAGGGGATTATATAGGGGAATACTTCAGGGGTTATTAAGGGGGATACTAGGAGTTTAGACTACAGCTCATATAAATCTATTCCTGCATTCCCTGCCAACGCTAAACCCTAAACCCTTAACCCACACCCTAAGCCCTAAACCTTTAACCCAAAACCCTTAACCCCCAACCCTAAGCCCTACGACATATTCCCTTATCCCCTACCAAGCCCTGGTAAGTTCGAAATGCCACGCAGGACATGTTTCCTGGATGTAGCCTGCGGCTTGGCCGGCCAGCTGTTAGAGGGCAGTGTTGTTTAGGATGGGGGTTTAGGGTTTAGGGTTTAGGGTTTAGGGTTTATGGACTAATGAAGGCATAATAGAAAAGAACATGGAAACTACTATTTAGGGTTTAGTGTTTAGGGCTTAGGATTCAGGTTTTAGAGCTTAGGGTTCGGGATTTAGGGTTGAGGGTTTACTCTACATTAGGGTTTGGGGATCAGGGTCCGTGACAGCACCCGCTCCGCATCTCCTCTCGACCCAGCTATCTGGGATCTGCGGGGTTGCTGTTAATGTTGGGGCAACCCTATGAATTAACATATATACCCATTATGGTTCCTTCACAGCAACCCAGTCTACAGCAGGCCTGGTTTCCCGCCTCGTTTTATTCCTAGCTTACTCCAAAGCAGAACTAAGCATGCGGCCTGTAGGTATAAACCAAGTCGACCCCATGATGATGGAGCGTGGAGTGTATGGGCTGGCGGGATTTCTCAAAGCCTCGAAGGAGTTGCGAATCCTATGGTCAGATTCTAAGCTTGTGCTAGCATGTTCTTGTTTGACTTCGATGCTTCTTTCAGTTGGTATCTGAAGTAGAGGGGGTATATTAAAGGTTTACAGCACATCATGATAACCGTCAACCCTAAGCCCGCAAGCCCAAGCCCTAAACCCTGAGCACTGAAGTCTGAAATTCTGAAACTCTTGTCAAGACCAACATCATCATCAGGAACCTTACGCCCTAAACCCTAGCACACGCACACACCCTCTCAGGAGCCTTATTTGTCAAGGTTATGGTGTGTCTTTGAAGTTGCGGCATACAGAACAGCAAATCCATCTGGCAAGATCACACTTGCCCCGCTATTTGTGGAGGCTGCCGTCGCTGAGTTACTGGGTCGTGGTTAAAAAACTTGAATTAGGTTACCAGCATTTGGGTATATCGTCAATAACAGGGTTTCCTTATTGTAGTAACTGAACTGAAGTTCCTCCACGACCCTAGACCCTAGACCCTAAACCCTAAACCCTAAACCCTAAATTCCTAGGACCCCTAAACCCTGCAACCCAGGTTATGGGCGGGTGCCTACCTGACTCTGGGTTGCTGTTAAGGACCTTAAATTAAGTTACCGTATTATCCCCCTATAATGGAGAATCAAATGGAAAATAAAATGGAAAATGAAAAGGAAACTGGGGGAATGTAGGGATTTAAGGAACTTAAATTAAGTTACCCATAGTGGGCATATATGTTGGTTAATAAGGTTTCCCCAAGATAGTAAGTTACAATAAGTTCGTTACATTCCTTTTTCCCCCAGCTTCCATTTCATTTTCCATTTTCTTTCTCATTTGATTCGCCATTAGAGGGGGGGGGGTTGTCAACATGGCTTCAACGAAGCTCCTTAACCCTAAACCCTATAATATACCCCCAATATAGTAAGTTAAAGTAAGTTACTTAACGGCAACCCAGGACTGGGGTGCTCTTTGTGGTGGGCGCAGACAAGATGAACCTGGGTGGTACAGCTGCACTTCCCTTCGCACTTCTACCTATGTTCCTCGGTTAGTTGAGGGTTCAGGGTTTAGGATTTAATTAGGGTTTAAGGTTTAGGGTTCAGGGTTTAAGGTTTAGGGTCTAGGGTTTAGGGTTTAGGGTTTAAGGTGTAGGATTTAGGGTTTAGGGTTCAAGGGTAGGGTTTAGGGTTTAAGGTTTAGGGTTTAGGGTTACTGTATTACGGGGACCTTATTATGTACTAACCTACCTATTCCTAAGTAACCTCAATTACAGGGGGAGCGGGGGGTAGTACAGATCGGGGTAGTAGGGGAACCCATGACAGGTTCTTCTTCTTCCACGTCCTCAGGGTGAACTTTAGGACCAAGCGTCGTCTCCTAAAGGAGTTGGACAGCTTCACACTTGAATCGGTCCAGTGCCAGAAAGAATTTGACAGGAAATTCATCCATAGCGCGCCTGGGTTTTTTCAGTGAGATTTTAGGTTGGTATAGGAAAGCGCAAGCCAAATTAGGAACTACGTTTAATTGTTCAGTGTTCAGGGTGCCCTGAACCCTAAACCCCTAAAATGTTAGTGACCAGGGTTAGGGATGAATCCTAAACACCGTGCTTATAGATTAGCGGCTGGCTCGTTACAGGTGACATGTAGGGATATTACTAGGGGTTTAGGGTTTACTAGGGTTCTGTTTAAAGCTGGTGGGGCCCATACACCGGGAAACACCCTAGACCCTGAACCCTAAATCCTCAACCCCGAATTGTACGCAGTCTCCTTAGGAGTTACTTTCTCCAATTTTAATATGACCCTAAAGAATTTTGAAACATTGTGTTTGTATGCCTTGACTAGGGGAGTTACAGGAGACCGTAAACCCTGAAACTCGAAGCCCTAAGACCCCAAAAGATTACATCCTAAACCCTAAACCCAACCCCACACCCCAGGCAATCGCGCAGTGGTACGGCAGTTCGGAGGCTTTCACACAGTATGTGAGGGGCCCGCTTCGCCAGGAGTTGTTACATTCGGCGGAAGCAGGGCTGAGAGGGCTTAGGGTTTAGGGTTTAGGGAGTTTTCTGGGTTTCCCAAAATTGGGGGTACCATTTCCGAGATCGCCATGATAAGGATTATAACGTATTGGATAACATATTGGGGTCTACAATGGGGTCCCCTTCTTAAGGGCAACCACCATCTCTGGGTGGTTTTAAAGGAGTTCTGGGGTGGTTTTAGAGAGGTCAGAGTCTTTTTTAGGATTGACGGTTTAGCTTTTTGAGCGTTATGGAGTTTAGCGTATCCTAAACCCTAAACCAAAAACCGCGAGTCTCAGGTTTAGGGCTTGGGGGGTTTTAGGGTCTTTGAGGGTTTGATGTGTTTTAGGGTTTGGGTTCATGGCTTGGGGTTTAGGTTTTAGGTGTTGTAGGCTTTAGAGTTTTGGTATGTGTCTTCGGATTTAGGATCCAGGGTTTATGGTGTTCTGGGGTTTAGGATTTAGGGGATCATAGGGTGTAGGGTTGGTGTTTAGGGAGACTTTGCATACCTGGAGATCCAAGCTGACTCGCAGTATGGTACAAAGTTGTAGGAGATTAGGACGAAGTTGGTCTAAAAACCCTAAAGTTCAGGCCCTAAATCCTAAACCTTGATCCCTAAACCCCGAATCCCTAAAGCCCTAAACCCAAAACCTAAACCCTAGTGCCTAAAGCCCAAGCCAACCCCCAAACCCTAGAACCCTAAACCCTAAACCCTATAATCTCAAACCCTGAAACCCGAAAAACCAAGACCCCAAGACCCTAGACCCTAAACCCTAGTCCCCAAGCCCCAAACAGTGAACTGGATCTCCAGGCGCGGTTCAGGCCTAGGGGGCTCTCCTGCATGATGTTGTTACAAATGGGCTTTCCCGAAAGTATAAAGGGTATAAAAGGGTGTGGTATATGGGATTATGTAGGGTTTAGGGTTTAGGGTCTAAAGTACCTCCTTGGGTGTCCCTAGATTAAGGATTATAGTATTTTCGGATTTATATTGGGATCCCCACCATGTGTAGAAAAACTCCCAATTTTGTTGAGGCAGGGAATTCTTTCCACCCCCAAGGTTGAGGGTTAGTAAGGGTTCATTTTCAAAGGCTACTGACTACAATGCCACCCATCAAATCATCACCCCATTTAGGGTTTAGGGATCATGTCCTTACGATGGCTCTCAGGCAAGGAACGCCAAAAAACGCGGTGGCGGCATGTTATGTTCAGATATTCCTATAGGAAAACCATATTACATTACTTAATCTGTATATAATTCTTATAGAACCCCCTGTAATCTCTATGGACGTAGGAAAGGAGCATTGCGTGTTCAGAGGGAATGTGACAGAAGTAGAGGATTTTTGTTGAGTTGCATTTGAAAAAGTAGAACCAACTGTGGATAGTACTGTAGATGAGCGTTGCTGCTTTCTTATTTTTACCCAAACGTAATTCCCAGATGAACACAACTGGCCCATGGCACATACTCCCCATATCATTCTTATATAACCTCCTATAATCCTTCTAGAACCCCTTTGTGGATCTCTTTGCCCCTCTCTCAGTCCGAAACCTTCTCCCTGCAAAGCTTTTTTGGTGGGGCTTTGCGAGATCTGAGAATCCGAAGGGGCGGTACTTTAAAGGGCCTATTTCCCTAAGGGTCCAAGGACCCAAATCATGGGGTTTTTTTGGGACCAAATACCATTAATATCATACCTTCAGCCCTCAATTTTTTTAAGACCTTAGGGTATAGTTCTGAGGGTTTTGGGGCTGAGGGCTGCATCCTTGGCCTTCGGGTTTGCGCTGCCTTGCTAAGCCTTAAGCCCGCCCCTTCCATGACAAGCCCTCTGTCCAGATTTCGGGGCCTTCAAAGAATAAAAAAAGTATAATCCCCCTTAAGTAGATA